AATAAGGCCGAGTTCTGTATTCCTAACTTTCATCTTATGTTATCTCTTATCTCTTCCACTTTATCTCTGTTGCAGTGTTCTCCTTGGGGCTCTACACTAATCTTCCAGCACCTATGTACTGGGGATAAAGGAAGCAGAACTCAGGTCTAAGGGATAAAAACACATTTAAGGACAGAATAGACAAATTCTCTGACTACATTCAGCTCATTCTACAAATCACAAGCAAACTGACTAAAGGAGAATACAGTGATATGTAGGAAAAAGAAATTGAGTAAAGAAAGAGACAGATATGGAGCTAATGTGATACTTTAAATTGCATGACCAGAGGCCTCTTGGAGGCAGCAACATTTAGTAGAGATGCCAATAAAATGAGCATGTGGGTCTTAACAGCATCTAAAGAAAGGAATTGCAGTTAGGAGAAATGGCAGGTACAAAGGCTGTAGGGACAACATGGTGAGTTTAGATTGTGTGAGATACAGGGTAACGGAGTGCTATGAGCCTTGACAAGAGTCTCCAAGTTGTTATAAGTGAAGTGGAAACATCTTACAAAAGCATGATGGGACTTGATACAAAACTCAATACAAAAGAGTATTCTGCTATCCTGTAGAATGCCTGTGATCATTAAAATAGCAGGGTTTCATTTTAAATTGTTATCACAATAGTTTACTAGACAGATGAGACTTTGTGATAAGAAATAATGGTCACTGGTACATACGGTCTTGATCTACATTGTAACAAGAGCTGACTATGGCAGAACTTGTGAATGAGGCCTGAGGTTAATGAAATGAAACCATAGTAGAACCAATAATTATCCCAAACACTAAGAATAGCCTTACTGTGAGGAGGAAAGTAATACTTCCCCCTGTGGCAGAGAAGAAACTGGAGCCTGATAAGATTCTACTGCTAAGAAGTAGAGGCAGGGCTTGATCCAAGTTATCTGGTTTACATGCTCTAAACCTGAAGTCTATGGGCACAGCACAGTGTGCTGGCTGTTGAAAGACAATTTGGAGAACTCTGCAACTCTGGATAATGCATAGGTGTTGCTGTGTGTGCTGAGCCAGAGACAGCAGATATGGTGCTCTCTGCAGAAAACTGAGGTACAGCTTGACAGTCATCACCAAACACTCATATAATTATCCCTGTTTGAGGGAGCAGAGGCTGACAAAGTCTCCCATTTTTTCAAAGGTAGACTCAGGATTTTAGCCTGGATCCTGTGGCTCTAGGACCTATTTCCAGAGCTGGAGCATTTTCAGAATAGAATCTCTGTTTCTCCTACCCCTTGGGTTCTCTACTACTTTCAGAGATGGACTGAGTCAAGGTCAGCTCAGAGTAATGACTCAATTCAGGGGCTACTGGGATGCTGAAGAACTTATGATGTGGTTGTTTCTACAGGCAAGATGGTAACATCCTTGAGGCAAGGCCATGTAGGAATGGTTTCTGTTCCTCATTTTCCTGATTCTCTGTGGGACTGCATAAGGGTATCTTGGTTCATGGTTGGGCATGGGCCTGGAACCCAGAGACTCCAAGGGGGAAACGGCAGGTGTTTGGCCACGTCCCCAGAACCCAGAGTCCCTACAGGCAGTCTCATCTCCATAGACCTACATTGTTCAGTCAGGCAGGCCATTACAGCCCCTCCCAAAGTGCATAGGTAGAGGGTGTGACAACAGGCCTCAGGCCCTAGGGATTTACATACTAATGAAGGACAGAGGGCAGAGCAAATTAAGCATTCTCCCCAGGCCCTCCCCCTTTCTCCCTCCCTATGTAACTCAGGTCTGCCCTGAGTTTCAGGGGGGGTACATCCAGATCCATCTATCATCTGCCATGAAAATAAACCCTTTTACAACCAAGGACTTTCTCGAGTCATTGGGGTCTGCTGCCGCCAAAGCCTCCAGACTCTGGAACTTCAGACCTTCTCCTGTATGTGGGACCTGCCGAGTGGAAAGCCTCTGGGGCCTCCACCACCACTGCAGCTCCTTTTTCCCCACAGCTGGTGCCCAGGACTCTGCTGTGGCCTATTTACCCACAATTCTCAAGTTTGGCTGTGTCTAAGGACACTGAATTCACAATAGATGGATGAAGAAATCTGTGGTTAAGTGAATGAAACTTTGCCCTCATCTCCTTCTCATGTATAGACATTATGTGTAGGGACCCAAGTAATCCAAAAATCAAAATTTCTTTCTGTATGCCTTGAATCCGTGCTATGGTGCTCCTGAAAGATGGGTAAAATGTTGATGCCCAAGGTTATAGAATCCACGGATTATATATATTATATTATGTTACGTTACATTATATTATATTAATTATATTTTCAAGCAGCCCCTTCTTAATCCATGGCCTATAAATAAAGCTTATTTTATCTTGGGCCCTTCACTTATGTGGAAAATACTAACTCATTAGGGCATCAATAAGTGCCAAAGGCAATTACTGATAGAAATGACCTACAATAAAATCAGAGAATATTGACAGAAGGCAAAAGAAACTGTTACTGAGGTTGCCTCATGCTCCACCCCCCCCATCTTTATCATAGGCCAGCAGGTGTTGTCACAGGTTCTACAAACAGAAGGGAGACACATTGGCTGCCATGCCTAGCCCATATCAAAATGCACAATTTGAAAGATCAAAAGAGTCAGGCTATTGCCTTATTTATTGTATGTCTCAGCTTTCCCAATCAGAGCTGTAGTTTCTCTTTATATAAATGATCATTCATTTGGGTTGTTGGATTTTCTTCTATGTATTTTCAACATAAGCTTAATCAAATTATGTCTCAGCTGCTCTGGGGTCAGGTTCTCTGGTAACTGAGACTAGAGACTATTGTTCTTGTTACTGTGAGAGAGCTTTGAAGAGTAAGATACGTACCTCAGATGCAGGGGAACCTCCACCAGAGTCTGATGCTCTGGAAAAGAGAGGCAAGGAAACTTGCTTATCTCGTGGTCAATGGAAGGGTCGAACCCCTGAGTCAGTCTCATCTGCGGTGGGGCTCCTTATTCAACTGCTCTCATCTCCTTCCTCTTGCACAAAAATTTAAATACTGGAATTCAAACACCTATATCAGCTGTTCCCTTAGGCTTACAAGCAGCCTCCTGTTCTTTATTCAGTCAGCAGGAGCATAAACATAACCTTGAGGCTGTATGTGGAGCTGATATCAGTGGGTAATTGAGTCTCTGGGGATCCTGGAAGTAACTTTAGGATTCTAGATCTTCCCAATCATGTAGGGGAAAAGCTTGATACTTTATCCTTCCTTGAGCCTTTGAAATGTTCTCACCACAGGAAAAAAGAATGCACATTCTGGCCTGCCCTGCTCATGACATTTTCTCCTGGACTACACAGGATTCTGCCCTCTGATGGTCCTTATATAGTGCATTCAAGGGTGACCATGCTCCTCTATCAGGTAAACATGCTTTAGTCCTGGGAGATTTCCACCAACAAAAGTCACTATTTACTAAAATCAGTTACTCTGTCGCAAGTCAGGAGCAGCAACTTTGTGGGACAGCCTCAGAGAATGACATTCTAGTACTTCATTGGTGAATGTGATGGGTGATTTTGAGTAAATTATTTTCCTGTACTGGATGCCAGTCTTCTCTGTTCAGATAAGGCAGATACTATTCTTAAGGGCTTTGCTGCCCTGGCCAGCTAAGGTTCTACTTTTCTCCTATCTCAACAGTCACTGTTGGCTTCCCTGATAAGAGGTCTCAAAGGGACAATCAGAGTAGATATTGCCAACAATTACTGAGTACTCCAAGAGAATTCAACATTGATTTCAAATCTCCTTATGTGCAGAGTCATTTTAGACCTATACCAGGCCCAGACATTTACTGTGGCTGCCATACAGATGAGGAAAGATTGATACAGGACAGATACACAATTGGCCCAAAGACAGTTAGCCAGGGTCACGGTGTTTGTAATTCCAAATCCATCATAAGCCACATCCCCAGATCTCTTGTCACTGAGAAGGCTAAGCATCATCAGACCTGGTGTAGAGAAGAGGAAACCCCTTCTCTCAGATGCCAAGAAGACACAGCTGCCTAGTGATAAAAATGAGGGAAGCATCTCGATGTTCTACATCTCCATTCTGGGCAAACTCTCTTTGATCAGCAAGGATACAAATAGCAATATTTATCAAACTAGAAATAGAAATTTCCAGTTTAAAACATGAAAAGAATCCATCATTACTAATATTTAGAGGCATGCCAAGAAAAGAGAGAAATGATGAGTTTTATTGTTATGATTATTATGTGATCATTTTATATGTTAAATAAACAAATTCAAATAAGATCAAGAAGAAGTAAGGACCTCTGCTGTGTGGATGTTTTTATATTTCTATGGATGGAGTGTATGCTGTTGGTAATTCTGGGCACAAAGTTATTAACAGCTGCATACTCTGTCTCAGAAATCTCATTCCTTGGTACTTATCCTAAATGGTCTGTGATTGTGTGTAGTTATTTAGCTATAATTTCACCACAGCATTTGTTATGTCAAGAATATAAGAACATTAATGTCCCCAAATAAGGATTTAGATATAAATTAAAGTAATATACAAATTTAAAACTTTTAATCAATGGCTTAGAATGATATACAAAATAGTCACACAGATTTTCCATATTCATGACTTATTTAAAAGAAAGCATAAAAAAACTAATTTCAAATGCTAGCAGCAATTTAGAATGTGTGAACTGCAAATGATCTTATTGTGTATGAATTACACTTGAAATTAGCATGCAAACATAGCAAATGCTATTTTTAAAAGAAAAGAATTAGTAAGAAGACAGCCAGGAGGAGGATCCTGGAAGTCAGTTTTTGGACTGTCTGAATTAGCAGGTGTTAAGTATCTGAGTTGCTCCAGTAGCTGTTGGGAGGCCACCTAGATTTGTTGGGTACCTGAACTAAGCCTACCAGAGTGACCATGACACCCAAAATATTACTCAGATCGAAAGTAAGCATCTAAACACATCATTACTTTGTTCTTTCCTGTACAGTGTCAACAATCAAGACAGGACAATAACTTGGTTAAATATTCTTTCAACTTTACTGAATGAGCATTTTCAAACATTGATCATATCATAACCCCATATATAATTGCTTTATTAATTCATATACAGTACATCATCTTTCTCCACCTGTTGAATATAAACTTCATGAGAATAAGAGTTATTGGTTTATTCCCTAATAGAATCTAAACCAGGCATATTGCAGGTGCTCAATTTATACACATCTAGTAAAGGACTCCAAAAAGCTGTGACCATTCTAGAATGTCTTTACAGCATTCTCGAGAATTTTAGAATAAAGTACAGCTGACCAGAGAATTACCTTGTCTCTTTACTGCTGCACACTAAACATCTCCACTTAAAGACACTCAGGCCTATCCCTGCAATTTACATGAGTGGATAGGAGGTGGCATTCTTCACAAAGCTCCAGGGCTTTGCAGGCTCTGGTGGAGCAAATCTTAGGGATCCAAGGTGGGCTTGGCAAAAGAGACTCCCAGGAATATGGCCACAGGCTGTGCAAATCCTTCTAAGCTAACATAGCTGTCCAGAGCTTTGCCATGAATGGTGCTCACCATACAGGGTGAGGACAGGTGCCCTGCTGGTCAAGATAAAATGAAGACATTTTTTAGGGGAAGGTCAAGACCGGATTCCATGTGGGTTTTGTCACTGTCCAGGCATGTGACCTTTAACAAGTCATCTCAGTCTTCTAGACCTCAGCTTCTTCTCCTGTAAAATAAAGTTAAGGAAAAGTTTTATTGTTCTTCCAAACCTGGATGAGAAGGAGAGAACTGCAGTTTGAATTAGAGCTATAAAGGCATTTAGATTTTATACATAGTCACAAAAATATTGTTGGGAATAAAGAAAACCTTTGCTTCCTTCTCAGAAGCCTCTGTAAATTTTTATCCATTAAGATCCTGAGGTTTTGACCTACATGTTGGGTGAGGCAAAAGATGAGAAGTGTACCCTAGTCTCAGGAGAGCTGACCTAGTAGTGCTTCTCAACCTTCCTAATGCTGTGACCCTTTAATACAGTTACTCATGTTGTGGTGACCCCAAACTTTGAAATTACTTCATTGCTATTTCATAATTATAATTTCTGCTACTGTTATAAATCATAATGCAAATATCTGATATGCAGAACACCTTCTGAAAGGTTTGTTTGACTTCTTGGAAGGACCCAGACATACAGGTTGAGAACCACTGTTGTAGAAGAAGGAGCATGGGCACACTTAGTCCTCTTTTCAGAAGGAAGTTATGAACCAGGAGAGAGACATGGAAAGGATACAGAAGCTGGAAGGAATGAAGTCCTCTGTTGGTATTATCATGAAGGATCTCTGACTTATAGCTGAGGGAAGCGCAATAACAGGAGATGAAAAAAAAGAGGGAAAATCATCAAGAATAAACTTTAAGTGTAAAGTTTATTGCCTAGAGATAGCATAACACAGGGCCATTCTGGGACGAGTAGATGGCATGTGACTATTACCAGCTGAAGTCCAAGGAAAGTAGATTAAAATATTGGATTATCATGTGTGTGTCAGGAAGAACACAGGCTGGGGGACTAGCTTTAATTTAGTTGGCAAATAAGTAGAATAAATAGATATGGGATCAATAATCCAATAAGATTCTACAATATTCTTCTCCTAACTCTGGACTTCCTCATCCAGAGAGTGAGAGAGCGAGAGACTGGGCATCAAGCGATGGGGTAAACATTGACTCCATTCTTGCTCAGCAGATAGTTCTTCTTCCTCTCCCTGCAGCTTTACACCTGTCCTCATTCTAGCTGCTGTGAAACTGGAATGAATGGCCCTGAACCCCTTCAGGAGGCAGGAGGCTATCCATACATTAGGTCATGGCTACTCTTGGTAACCCCTCTTTGATCTCAAAAGCACATTTTGGACATTACCCTAATCCTTAATTCTCCAACTCTTTGCAGCAGGCTATCTCACCCAAAATATATGGCTATAAAGGGAAAGACTAATTTAGATTTCTCTACCAGAAAAGTTGCTGATGAAACACCTAAGTATAAAAGGGAGTCTAACTTCCAAGTTTCTCTGCATCAATAAACCAATTCCAAACTGTGTAAAGTTAGGCTGATCCTGTTATTCATGTTTAACAAACAACAGAAAATCCAAGGTGGCTTTATGGACGTTATGCATAGATGGACGCCAAGTATATATATTTTCACATGATTTTTTTTTAACATCAAGATCATGAGTTTACCACTGATGTAACCTCATAGTAATTTGGAGACCATTTTTATATCAAGAATAGACAATAACACTATAAAGTCTATAGAAAGTCACATAATAAAGGCTTGTCTATTTTTTTTTTTTTTTTTTTTGTAATTAAGGGCAACCCTCATGCCTACTCCTTTGTTTTACCTTACCATTCTCTCTGGGATAGCTTTCTTGAGAAGCATGTATATTAAAATGTTCATTATCAGAAGCCATAATGGGACAAGCTAATAACTAGCATGTGATCTTTCTGAGATGGTCTGCCTTGGGTTATTATATAATCTGCAACAGTTTGACTCTTATTCTGCAAGGCTGTAAGAGAATTCATTTTAGGAAAGATTTCTTCTATTAATATACTTTTCCTGTTATTATTAAGCACATATAACAATAACTAAGTATTAGCCCACCCCTTTGGGGAGCAGATCTCTGCATATCTATGAAGATGTACTATCTAGTAGTGATGCTATATAGACAAATAGATGACTTCTTAAGTCATTCCTATAAGAAATCCTAAAATTATATCAGTGATTATTAATCTCTTTTAGAGTAGGACTGCTATTAGGTCCTTTTCTGATAGTCAAAACTGCAAAGAGAACTCTTCTTATCTCCCATGTGTCACCAGTTTATTGCTCTTAGATAGTAACCAGACTTTTTACTACTCAGAGCATATTCCAAGAGGTTGCAAAACAATTAACCAAAGGTCATTAAAAGGGAACTAATGATTTATTATACGTACTGGACAGAAGATAAAATATTTACTGGGTTTATCGATACAAAACTTCACTAATAACTTAGTTATAGTTTTAAACGTTCAGTGAACCTGTGGAGCTGTGAAAAGTGACGGATGTTTAGCCAGAAAATTATCCCTAATGGATATGCATGTAAACATTTCCTTTTGTAAACTTCTACTTCTATTTATGATTTGACTTTTTGTGTGAACTTGTGTTGAACTTTTAAATATGTGATCATGTATTCTGAAAGACGTATAAGTATTGAGAACAAAGGGATGAGAAGTAGAGAAGAATTTTTCCCTTAAGAATTTTTTGCTTTCCCCTTACTTAGGAAGATTTTTTTCCCTTCCCCTGCTTAGGATCTTTCAGATTTTCCCCTTAAATAGCTTTCATAGGAAACTTTTTACAACTTAGTAATAAACAATAAACACTATAATCACTTTTCAAAGTATCCCTTTGTCTTCCTGCTAGTAGGCTGAAAGTTAGAGTCTCTGCAAATCCTGCTGAGATAGAACAAAGGCCACATTACTTAATCCCCTGCTGTTAGGTTATAGGTGTCAATTGCCTAGGTCAGCAGCTTTTTACCCTCAGTAAGAGCAAGAAAGATTTTAGGATTTTTTAAGAAATTATCATTAGCATTTCAGTATAGTTAGAGAGCTAGACTGACTGGAAGCCCTCAGACTTTAAAGCCATCACCAGAGTCCTAGTCTGTGCCCCTGCCACTACCCTTTCCAGGCCAGGAGGCTCCAGGCGTTATAGCATTGATCGTATCATATTGGACCCATTTATAACCTGGAAAAATCTTGTGAAGAAATATGAGATATACTGGGGACAGCATATAATGACAGGGACTGCCTGCTGTAGGCAGAGATGGAGACATCTCAGAAGCCTTCAGCAGCTCCTTATAAAGAGGATGGTATCTGGGACCCTGAGAAGCAGGAGACACATCCCTCCAGGAGACCCACCATCTGAAATAAGGGACTGTCTGCAATAGGCAGGGATGGAGACATCTCAGTAGACTGCTGCAGCTCTTTGTAAAAAAAAACAAAAAAAAAAAACCAAAAAAACAAAAAAAAAACAAAAAACAAAAACAACAACAACAAAAAAACAGTTGTTCCCATTTCTCCTACCTTAGCCCTGGACAATGGCTGTATAGATTTCATTTGTGCATGACTGTTTTTCAGTCGGCCCTGCTGTGCAAAATTATTCTATTGTATCTGACTTCCTTACTTCTTTCTCCTTCTGCTCTGGTGAATTCTGTGAAACTAGATATTCTTTGATGTAATGATTCTTAAACAATTAAAAACTGAGGCATGGAGGCACAGCACAGTCCTAATGGCCCAGGTGCATGCTGTGTGTTCTCATCTTGGAAACAGTGCAATAAGTGCAAAATGATACATCCAGATTAATGCTTGACTTGCAAAGAAAGTTTGAAGAAATTATTAGAGAATGAAATAGAGCCAACACTGGAACCCCAAGAAAGGAAAAATCTATTGAAGTTATGAAATAAGTTTGGCGTAACATTTAAGAGTGGCTCCTAGATAAGGAAGTATAAAATACATAAAATCTTATACTAGTAAAACTAAGTCACAACACTGGGACTCTTGGGAGAGTCATTGTGTGCAATGCACAGAAGCAGAACGTTAGCAGAACTACTGAGTTAAGGGTTAATTTGATTCCTTTTGGCCACTGCCTGGCAGCTTTGCCCATGACATATATCATTAGAGATTCACAGGAAAATGCAAGTAGCTGACCTCGGAGCTCTGAAGTATAATAAGTTAAAAGTTAAAGTTTAAATAACGATGAGTTTGCAATTATTATTATTTTGGCTACAGGCCTGGGAATAGGGAAGCTTGAAACTTTGGGGGGGGGGGAATGTAATTATTAACTCTTTGTGGGTTGTGGTTATTCTTTTGAATTTGATTTGGCAATGATTATACAATGTCTTTTTTTCTATCTGCTTTTGAAGTAATAATAAAAGACTGAGGCAAGAAAAAGGTGAGATAGCATGTGAAGAGCATGTGAAGAATGAGTGAAGAGAATATGTGAAGAGCGAGTGAAAAGAGAATGTGAAGAGTGAGTGAAGAGAGAATGTGAGGTGTATATGGAGAGTGTGTATGTGAGTGAAAGGAGAATACATGTGGTATTTGTGGGATGCGTGTGAGATGTGTGTGAAGAGTGTGTGTAAGAGTGAAATGGGAACACACAGAAGAGTGTAGGAGTGTGAGAGTTCAAGAAAAGAAAAAACTCACAGGAGAAAAGCAGAGTGTGCAGGAGAATGCAGAGTGTGTGCAGCCTCAAGATGCGAGAGAATGAGTGAGAAGGCAGAGAGTGAGAGAGAAGAGACACTTTAAGCCTTGAAAAATTGCCTGTCAGCTTGTACCCAAAAAGTAATCTGTGTATATTTATTATGTGCCTTCGAGATATCCCTGCTTCCAGTTGAGAACTCTGATTCTGTGTCAAGGCTGGACCCCAACAGAGATATATATGGGAAATTTAAATGGTAGACTTAGTCCTTGACTAGATAGATATAGGGGCTGTGAAAGAGAAAGAATACAAAGGGAGGATATATATTGTTGGCTTCTTGAGAGAGAGCCACCATTGTGATATATCCTTACAGGAAGATGCCACCAGACATGGGGATTTCACTATTGGAAGGAGATTAGTGTGTGTGTGTGTGTGTGTGTGTGTGTGTGTGTGTGTGAGAGAGAGAGAGAGAGAGAGAGAGAGAGAGAGAGAGAGAGAGAGAGAGAGAGGGCATTAACCACCTAAAGGGAAGGGTATTCATCATGGGTATGTATGAAGTTCAGGGGCCAGTATGAGAATGGAGAAAAATACAAAGTTAAACCCAGGGAAAGTTCCAGATGTGAGTGAGACACATACTAACTTGGCAGAACAAGAAAGAGGGGACAACACCAGGGAAGCCCAGGGAGATACAGGGACTCACAGGGTGATGAGAAGGAGGGTCCAGGCTGAGCAGGTATCACCAAGCATGACCTGTGTTATCTCAATGGTGACGTTCTACCCAGATGAAGTGGGCAGGAGCTAGGTTGCTCTGGATAGAAAAGTGGACAAATGAGATGCAGTCATGAACTGAAATGCGGCAACTGGCACTGTACAACATGGCCTCTGAACATATTAACCACCTACTGTGTGCCAGATGCATATTTCCAGTGTTTTTATTCCTTAGAAAAACTTCATTGGGTAGTTGATGATTTTAGTGTCTTGTCAAGCCTTTCATTATCTGTCCAGAAGTAGTCTACGAATCAAGAATAAAATAAAATGACCTCTCTCAATTCTTCATGCTTCATATCATTGTCCTCCTGTGCCAGGCACCTGTAGTTGGGGTCTTAAGCATTTGCCATCCTCTCTGTCTTTGGGAAGCTGGAGCTGGCTGAATCTGGCTAAATCTGGCTGAATCTGGCTGCTCCAGGCTCAAGTCCAAGTCTGGAGGGCAGCTACCTTTGAGACAGAACCTGCTTTTTCATTGCTTGATTTGCATCTCCGCTGACCTATGCTCAGGACAAAGAATGCTAAACATGCACACAGATATTTGCACTCACTCATGCAAACAGTGAGAGAGATAAGAACCAAAGCCCAAAGCCACACCATTGAAGGACCTGGGGTCCACTGGCGTATCTGGTACTGGGAGGAAATACATTAATTCTGCCACATAGCTATAGACTTACTCCTGAAACTGTTACTACTGAGACCAGTTACATCATCTAAAATGATAGAAAGCCTCCCACCTTCCCTGGATGCCTAATGGCACGACTAAGCCACACCCATATACAATTTTCTATCTTTTTTCAACTCTTTTTTTTAATAATTTATTTTTTCTCAAATCGTAATTCACACAGGGGTTATAAACACAGAAAGGCAGGATGTGGGGAAGGGAATGACACTGGAGTGTAGGTGATCAGGGGGAATACAGATATCTTTCAGAACCGGGTATCAGCTGGGTGAAGGTTCAGGGGACAAGTCACTATGATTCTGCCTATGACTCGCTTGTCCTTATCTAAGTTGGTATTGTCTGCCCAGGCTACCTATTTACAAGGTCTATGACTACTCAGGCTTGTAAATTTCCACAAAAGCTGCCTGTTTACATTAGCTTATAGCTATCTGTTTCCATCTGTTTCAATGTTTTTCCACTGAGACCCAAGACTTGGTGTTAGTACACATGTATGACAGGTCTATTGCTGATTTTAGGCCTATGGCTGATTTTAGGCCTTCAGTGGGTAAGCAGGGCTGCCCCTGACATCTCCTCCCTTCTCTAAGTATAGAAGGGCTGTGGCAATTCTAAACTTGCGAAGGCGGGGATAGAGGCCTGACCTCCAGTATTTGAAGGGGACCTTATAATGGCTCCAGTCCCCCTGTCATTGTCCAGTGAGGCATGAGGGCCATACCCGTCCCGATGTCTTTTTCCTGAAGAGGGGGTACTTTTGACATCAACCCCTATACAGTCAGGCTTGTCCCTCAGGGAACCCAGATAGATATTTTTAACTTTTATTTATATTCTCTTGCAGTGTTTAGCCTCGCAGCCTAGGCAAGAATTCAGATCACCTGACAGAGGGGGGTTCTGGGTGGCCCCTCTCTGCTTGGTCTAGGGACAGAAGTCCCCCCTTTTAGGTTGAGTGGAGATGGGTTTTGGAGACACCCTGTATAAAGTAACAACCTCATCTTGAGTCTCGTGGTCCTCCATAGCTAACTTATGATAATGTATCTGAGTAGGTTTTGCTACCAAATTATTTATCTGTTGTATCACAGAGTTAGTCCACCTATTTGAGAGCCAGGGACCAGCAGAAAAAAGCAAAAAGAACCCAAATAATGGTCCCAAGATGGGAGGAAATAGGGTTGACAACCTTGGAGAGGCTGAAAACCAATTCTTGTACCAGCCTTCATCTGTCTCTTTCTCTCTCTGATTTTTCTTAGGGCCTTCACTACCTGTTTCATGCTCTCTTTAACCCTCCTTGTCTTGTCTATGTAAAGGCAATCTTCTTCTTTAAGAGCTGTACACAGTCAAGATCTGTACACAGCCTTTTCTATTGTAATAGAGTAAATCATCCAATAAGGATCTTTGCGATTTTAGGAGGTCTCTTCAGACAGCGAAACGAGGGATTTCTTCAGATTAGTGATGTCAATCACTAGCTGTTTGATGTTCTTGTCAGTGGCCCTTCAAAGGTCTGAGTAGTGTAAGTTCGGAGGCCAGCATCTGGATTAGAACTTCTAACAGCAGACATCACGGGTGATTCATTTTTACCTGGAAAGGAAAAAGAAGGGAATTCTCAGGGAGATTTCTCTTCCCTGGATGTAAATTGTTATTCATCGTACTTATGGTTGGGCCTGGCTTTGTGGGGATATCTTTTTTTTTTTTTTACTAATCTTTTTGGTAGCCAGTTAGCTGTGCCTTCTGTGGTATCAGACAGACATATCAATCCTCGGCCCTCTAAGGGAACTGGGTCTGGGCTATTCCCTTTAAGGGTAAGATGGTCCTTCCCCATATCTGTGGCAAAGTTTTGTTGGTCTCGGTGGTGCCAGAGGCAGTCAGCAGCTGATTTGCCATGAGCTTTCAGCTTTAGAGAGATAAAAGTGAACAAGGCATGATGGAGAGTATTTCAGGAGGACTCCTTCTGAGGGGGTACCGTTCCCCCTCTTTTGTTTTTAAAGCCAATTTTTCAGAGTTCTTGTAAGATCAGGGCAGAAGCGCCAACAGTCGCTCCTTCCACACTCAGAGAGTCATGAAGACCCTATTTAAGGATATATCATTACTCAACTTTTAAATTACAACCATTATTCAACTTTCAGATTACAGAGATCCACAGGTAACCAGTGACTTCCTACCTAAAGATTTCTTCCTGTAGCATTCCAATCTCTGTAGCTGCCAGTGGCCATAGACAAACTGCATTCACCTGAAAGGAGGGCTGGAAATGAAAAAGAGACGGAGGGGTGAGAGAAACATGGAGCCAAGACAAAGTCCTCTGATCCAGGCTCAAAGTTTAATATTCAGTACTGTATTTATATAGGGGAAGCCCACCAGAATCCATCCTTTGTTTCAGCTGGATAATGTTGCAAAGCAGGCTCCACCGGCAGTCTCTTCTTCTAAGTTCTTGCAGGAAGTTGCAAGTGTAAACAAAGCAGCTGGCTTTACCTAGGTGTTAAGGTCCTGTAGGAAGTTGTAGGTGTAAACACAGTAGATGACTTCACCTAGAAGTTAAGGTCCTGTGTGGCAAACAAGGTCTGTTCAGACTGCTCAATGCTGGGAAGGGCACAATTCTTCCTTCTAAGATCTTAATCATGCATCTGAATTTTTTCATGAGCATCTGACAATATACATAGAGAAGTCTGTAGTTGGCATAAATTCCTCCATCAATATGCAGTTCCTATGGCTTTCAAACTCTCATATTAGCCCCCACTTTGTCTCTAGTAAATGTTTGTATTTTCCTCCTTGATACTGGATGATGTCTTGCATCTGAGGTATAAGACAAGCCTAAGTACAAAACCTGGTTTTTCTGCAGCGTGTTTCCTTTCTTGTTGATTTCAAAGTAACTATTTTGCTATGGCATCTCTTGTGAAAGATCTTTTTATGAATTCTATCCCTCTCTCTCTTTCTCTCTCTTTCTTTCATTTCTCTTTCTCTCCCCTCATCTCTTACTTTTTTTCTGGGGTACGTGCATTTATAGTCAGTCCAAAACACAGATACTTATTTGACCATAAAAAGAACATTTATTCTCTAAATTGAGGCCAAAAGTACAAACATTTCCCTTCCCTGGGCCCTGCCTATATCTCTGACAAAGTTCTTCAGGATCCTTAAAGATCCATCTTTGGTTTACATACACCTTTAGTGGAAGAACCATATCTTGGCTGAAGTCTGGTAGAGCCTTGCATTCACAGCTCATTGTGGGTTTGCTGGGATTGTTTCTTGGCCAGGGGCTGTGTCCAGAAAGCCACTTCCTCCCCTTTCAGTCTCTGGGCTTGCTGGGTGGTGGCACCAATCTGCAGATATCCTTCTTTATGGTCATACTCTGGCCAGTGAGGCAGCCCTTTGCCATTAGGGTTTCTGGGAACAGAATCAAATAGAATTCCTCAAAGCTACTCTGTGATCTCCGAATTTTTAATGAGATTTATAGTGATTCCTGGATTATCTGTGCCCAACTATCTTCTTATCACAAGAGATAGGGAGAAACAATGTAAGAGCAATGGTTTGGAGTGGCTGGATTTGAGTTTATGCCTAACCTTTAAAAACTACTCTTCATCCCAGTGAAGACAATTGAGGTCTGGTCTTGTCCACTACCCCAGTCCCATCTTTGCCACTATCCTTACCCATTCCGAGCAAAGTTGGCCCAAAATTTCATCACCATCTTGCTGAGTTTGATCTCCTCTTCAGAGGCACCATCTATGAGGAAAAGTTGGGGAGGTTAAAAGCAGAACTCAGGGTACCGTTTAGAAAGGCAGAACTCTGAACCTATTCCATACCAACTTAGTCAAAAGTCTACAGAATCCTGGTTAACTGGTGCACACTTTCAGACTAAGGAGAACTGATTTGGATTTATCAGCAGAATCTAGCCCATCCAATACTGCCTTCATTTTCCATGCCTATCCATTTGTTCTTCCACACTCAAGGTAGAAAGATCACACCATGGGGTTTCCTCTATCCCTTAATATTGTTGATTCATAGGTCCTTTCTTAGTCTTGTAAACTTGTGAGTGTTGAAAAATATAAAAATGCAGATGTGCTAAGTCTTTAACTGGGAGCTTGCCATGACAGATGATGTGCCCTGAGCATCTTGAGAGTGGGTTAGGAGCCACATGCAGTTTCTGAAATTCATAGGTTTAGAAAGGTTTTTTTCCAAATATTAATTGTGTCAGAGCATCATATTGCATTATTAACTATAATAAAGATAAAAATTCACATACATGAATATTAAATACCTACATAGATTGGTAGACATACTATGTGGTTTGAATATGCTTGGCCCAGAGAGTGGTACTATTAGGAGGTGTGGTCTTGTTGGAGTGGTTTTGACCTTGTTGAAGGAAGTGTGTCATTGTGGGGGTGGGCAATGAGACACTTCTTCTAACCACGTGAGAGCTAGTCTCCTCCTGTTTGCCTTTGGAACAAAATGTCGAACTCTCAGCTTCTCCTGTGTCATGCCTGCCTGGGTGCTGCCATGCACCTGCCTCAGTGATAACATACTGAACCTCTGATCCTGTAGGCCAGCCCCAATTAAAAGTTGTCCTTATAAGGGTTGCCTTGGTCATGGTATCTGTTCACAGCAGTAAAAGCCTAACTAACATGCATACCAATATATGTGAATCTGATTCACAATTAACACCAATTCTGAACTTACCATCAGTTATGTTCTGGTATGTTATTTTTATTATAAATTGAAGAATGGGACTCTTGTCATCAAGTGGGCTATGTGTGATGTACAACATCTCAATCTCTCGTCAGTGGTCAGGAATGTGAGAGAAGTTATGCTGGGGACACAGCAATATATATTCGCCTTCGTGTATTTTAGAGCAGAAGAAAGGGT